AGTTGTGCTGAAAGAAGGATCTTCCATATCACTGCGGGGAAAACTGGAGCTGGATTGTGCACATATTGTACATCTTGCAAGGTTTTCAAACACATAATTGATGAAACATCTATTCCTGGGGGACTCTTCCTCTAAGTCTGCAGCTTTAAAATGCTCTATCTCCAGCAAGGGCATTTGCATCAACAAGGCATAACAACATTGTCCTGAATCAAATGACATGGATTCCATGCGCTAACCTTCTCCAGCCTGGTGCCTGCCTCATACATTGTGGATTGCATGGCTCATCATCCCCAGTCACAATGACTTGCAGGGTTGTAAAACACCTGAAGGGTACTGGATTGGGGAAAGATTCCATAGGGTTTGCAAGAGGATTTGGGGCAGATTAAATGAGATATAATCCCAGGCTATCAGGATTCTTAAATGCAGTGCATAAAACAAGAGCATGTCCTAGAATCAGAAATGAGAAATATTAACTGCTTTAGACTGCGTAATCCCATAGACAACATGGCAGTTCTGAGAGCACTGGTCCAAAAAATAATTTTTCTCAGCTTTGCCTAGACTGCCCTTTTTTCAGCTGCTACCACCTTGACTGCACAAGGAAAACTCCATGAGATACCAGAGCTGCCTTTCAGAAACTACTCTGCTCTTAAGAAACTGCCGTTACAATTCTGAGATACAGTGGTGCCCCACTTGACGATGATAATCCGTTCCAGGAAAATCGCTGTTAAGCGAAATCGTCATCAAGCAAAAAAAAAAAAAAAATTGGAATGGGTTGAAAACCTGTTAATGCGTTCCAATGGGTAAATACCTTATCGTCCAGCGAAGATCACCATAGAAAACCACCGATCAGCTGTTTAAAATCACTGTCTTCCGCAGCAGGGGTCTGGAAAACAGCCATTTTGCGAAGGGACGGAAGCCATTTTATGAAGGGAAGCCATTTTGCGGAGCCGGAAAAACCATCGTTTAGTGAACAAACGGTTCACGAAACAGTCTCCTAATCAATGTCAAGTGAAAAAACCCCATTGGAACCATTGTTTTGTGATCGCAATAGCAAACACAAAAAACTCATTGTAAAGCGATTTCGATGTCATGCGGGGTAAGCGTCAAGCGGGGCACCACTGTAATACAAAGCTTTGAGAAGGTGCAAAAATCCCTTTAAAAAATATTGCTGATTGGCTTGGCAATCTTCACCAAGCCATTGCTCTCCGAAAACAGCTCCCATATTTCCCTAGTCGAGATGACCATGCTAGCTGGTATTGATTTTATTTACAATTTTTAATATGATACTCGTTTAATTCTTTTAAAATATTTGTATACTTGCTATGTTTAGCTTTTAAATGTTATCTTTGTAATGATATAATCTGCCTTGGGGTCCTTTTAAGGAGAAAGGTGTGGTGAAAATATTTTGAATGATGGAAAGGATGGGAGAAAACATCCGAATGGCTCTGGTTTGGGGATGTCTAGCGTAAAAGTTACTGCAGCTTTTCCACAGTGAAATGTGACATAAACTAACCCTTGGGAAAATCAAATAGTGTGGAAATCTAACAGGTTAATCAGCAATTAGAAGTGCCAAGAATTGGGCCATGAAACGCCAGGATTTGCCACTTTGACAGGAGCACAGAATAGCTGTCCAAAAAAAGATAGGATACATTGCAGCCTATTAAAAGACTATGAAATGATATTATATGTTGTTGTTTTACAATATGGGATTTGGTGTTCATTGTTTTGTCCTTGAAAAAAGTCCAGAAACCAAGTTGGACAAAGAGGTAGATCAGACAGGCTGACATTATCTGTGCACATTTTCATTGATTCTGTGGCTAGAGCCTAACACCAGCCTAAAGCATGTTCATAATTCAACCCTCGGTAGCTGTCTTCTTAGGGAGAAAGTTTATTCTTCTCAATGAAGCTCCCAGATAAGTGTATCTGAGAGGGTGACGTGGGACACTTGGAATTTCCAAAGCAGCCCACAGCTTTTGCTAACTCACTGCAGATGGCAGCATTCCTTCCTGCAAAGAGTGTGGTGCCAGAACATATAGAGTTGGGATGAAACTGAGAAGGTGCCCTGGCAGACAAGTGACTGCAAAACGTTTTGGAGAGATTTGTGCCTGACTGTGGCGTACAGCTTTTACCCCCGAAGATGACTCTTGTGGGCATGTTGCTTGACCTGACTGAGTGAAAATTCATTGGCTCACACACCCTTTTGTGTTTTGTTCTAGGCATTTATTGGCATCATTTTTTCACTAAGCCAACTTCTTTAGAAACACTTTCATGGCTTGGCTATTTATAGCCTGTGGCAGTTGCCCAATGAAATCAAGCTCCTTTCTCCAGACAGAAATTCAATCAAGGCTGGAATAAATTATGAAGGAATTTATTTTCAAATTGGCACTGGGGCACTGACTTACAAATTAAGCTGTTCACTTGTAATGCTCCAGCTTTTTGTGCTTCATAAAAAAGCCTTCGTGCAGCATACGCAAAGCCTGCCAAGGCTTTCAGAACCCCTTGAGGAGAGCCGGCTGAAAGCACAGTGCAGGAGGAACATTGTTTTCTGTCAACAAGCATTGTGTAAGCTGCCTGCATTGAAGTCTATAAATGTTGCACTATACCAAATGAATAGCAAGTTGATAAAGAGCCAAGGTCTGTATTTGTAGACATCATGGGAAACATGCACCTTCAAGAGATAGAACTGCATGAGAAACTGTTTCATGGCTTCATAGGAAAGTTCACATTCAGTGCAGGATCAAGTTAGATGCCTATCTGCAGAACAGTTTGGCTGATGAGGGATTTATAGTCCCAACACTTCCATCTTGGAAGCAGGAGCTGGCACTTGCTAAGGTCCTGCTAAGATTTGCACCCTAGGTGAAGGTGCAATTGAGACCAATCCTGTAAATGCTGTGATCCTGAGTGTTCTCCTTGCTTCACAGCCTGCTCATCACCTGTCTCTGAGTGAGCAAACAATGGTGGTGAACAAGAATCTAGAGCAAAAAAACTCTGTTTGACTTGCCCATTCCCTGTGTTTGAGGATCAGAGGAAGAAAGTGGGCATATAGACAACGGCAAAAGAAAAAGGGGCCCAAGGCTGGACAAGACAATTATGGTTGAAGGATTGACCCAGACATGGAGCCAGCATCATTTTGAAATGTTGTATGTTTCAGAATAATTTCTTAAAGCAAATGTTCTACTCCAGGGATCCAAATCCATCCCTAACATTCCTGGATCCCCTCAGCATCACTACCCCATAGCAACTGCATTCAAACAAACAAACAAACCTATTTTGGGGGCACACGTGGGCTTTTCTAGTGTAGAAAACATATTTTTATAAGACAAGACAGGGAGGGTCAGGGCCACAAAACTAGGTGTAAGTGCATTTACACCTCCAAGCTCTAGGGATGGACTTGTACAAGCCCTGGGCCTCTGGATGTTGGGCCTCACTTGAACTCGAAGTATGTCTTCAATAGACATTTCTGCCAATTTCAGACTACTGTGTAAGTCTGGCTTAAAAGTTGTGAGTCTGCAAATTTGTAGATAGTTTAGGTACCTGGCTGCAGAGCCAGAGGCTGGGAGTTTGATCCCCCACTGTGCCTCCTATGTGGCCTTGGGCAAGCTGCACAGCTCCAGGATGTGCGCGCGCACACAGGCACACACACACACACACCAGGCCTTGGGCAAGCTGCACAGCTCCAGGACGTGAGCGCACACACACACACACAAAGAAGAAGTATTCTCTACTTGGAAAATCCTGAAAAGTTGTGACTTGACAGCACATGATTGTTATTATAAAAGGACTAAAGAACAACAACAATAAAATTAAAAGACAATTAAGGAAAGTGACAATCGAGATTCATAAAATAATAAGCAGTATGATATCTTGTCTCTCTCCCTCCAAACAAAGTTTGGATCAACACTTGAAGTCTGAAACTGATTGTCAACAGAAGAGATTGGGGTTCTTCATTCAGCATGCAATTAGCTATAAGTTTGTTGCTGCTCGATGTTGAGAATGATACTTAGGTAGTAAAATAAAAAAGGAAAATAAGGAAAGGTTTATGTCACAGTAAGAAAAGAAGTCGAGGAGGGAGCTAGATTTTCATCATATGGTGCATTTTTCTCCATGTTCTAATAATCCTTACAAAAAGTTTGCAGGGTAGGCAAATGCTGTTACTGCCATACAAGGGATGAGAGCCACAGAGGACGTTTATGTCAAAAGTGCAATTTAAATAAGCGTTTTCCTAGTTGTAGCATATGCCCACCAGTTTTTTTATAGCTAAAAAATTTAGCCTTTTCTTTTCTAAATTTAGCATATATCAGCAGATTCATCCTGATTTCTAGTTCTTCACCTGTGTTGCTTCTCCAAAGCCTTTTTCACACTTTCCTCTCAATTGATCCTGTTTTCCCCCCAAAACCTATTTCTGATACATCCTTTCTGATACAGCCTTTTAATTTTTCAATAGAAATGTATTGTGTTGTCCCAATAAGTCCTTGCTTTCAGCAGTTGCCTAATTTGCAAATATCTAGGGGAAAGTACGGTAACTGTTTGCCACTCGTTTAACAGGACAGTTTTGTATATAACAGCGCCTGGCTGATTAACAGTGAGATAGTTCTCAGAATTCCGACTACTGTCTGTATGATATTGACAACTAATTGTGTCAAAACCAATATTTCATTGACACAGCAGCCACTGCAGCTGCTGTATGCAGTCACCATGGGGGACATTTTTGTAAAACATGGGAGTTATGTTTATGATGATTAAATAAATGATGAATTCCTTGAAAATTCAGTTCATATATTATGGCTAAAACCATTATATATATTTAAGTAAAACAATTTATACTAAAAACTTCTGTAGTTTGCAATTGTTATTTTTATACTAAAAAGTTGTGTAGTATGCAATTCAATAGCTGTTATTTAAAGCAATGTAAGTTGGTGCTGTACTATGAGTAGTAAGAGTGATTCATACTAATGTTTGGCTTTGTTTTTATCTCTTCACCCCTCCCCTAATTGACCTAGGTCTGCCTTATGGATGGGAAGAAGCCTATACAGCAGATGGGATCAAATACTTCATCAAGTAAGTACTTTCAATGACTGTCTGAAAAGAATTATTATTAGTGCATCTCTAAGAAAACAAGCAAAAATATTTTATCTCGAGCCAAGAAAAAAAATGTCTTGAAATGTTCTGGGCAGTATTGGCCCAAATCCTGTTGTTTAGTGTAATAAATTGCACTAGAGTGGACCCATTGAATAAACTGGTGTTTGGTGAGTTAGTTCCTCCATAAGTTCCATTGATTCAAATAGGCCTACTTTAGCTGTGACATACTTTAGCATAGTAAATTGCAGTTAGAGTAGATGCATTTGAATCACTGGAAGTTGCAGAGAAGCTGACTCACTAAATCCTCATTATTTCAGCGGTCCTACTCTATTGTGATTTACTACACAAAGCAAGAGGATTTGGGGTAATGACAATAAATAGCTCTATCAGATGTGTATTATAATAAATGTATATCCTTTATTATCTTCCCCCAGCAATGCGGGAGGGAAAACCCCATAGAAACAAAGTTTAATGCATTCCTATGGGATGAAAACTAACGGTTATGCGAAGATCCTCCATAGCGCCGTCATTTTCGCCACCTCGGTAAGCGAGGGCAACGCGCGAAAATGGTTGGGGTGGCCATTTTGGAACCGCCGATCAGCTGTGTGAAAATTGGGCCTTTGCGATTGCTTTTGCGATCGCAAAAAACGAATCGCTATGCAGATTCGTCGTTAAACGGGGCGCTCGTTATGCGAGGCGCCACTATATATACTTTATTATCTTCACATAACAAGGAAAAGAACTCTCTAGTTGACTTACTTTTGAAAGCATCAAAATTGTAAAGTTTCTAAAACTTGAGGATGCTAAAATAAAATTTAGCTGCTATTTAAGTTTTTGACAGTTCTTCTGATAGGATGTCTAGCAGTAAGGTCTGGAAAGTATAACTCCAGTGTGTCCCTTTGAAACACCATGCTGAAGCCAATTGAATAATACCATTTAGAGTCTGGAATTAAAGAGTTTGCAGGGGGATTGTTGTTGTTTGCATTATTTTGTTTTGCTTTTTGAGTTGTCAGTGTGGATTAGAACAGTTCTCTCTTGTCTGTTGTTCATGCATCTGTAGAGGTTTGGTAGTATAATAATGGGGATTAAAAACAGCAGCCGAACTCAAAGCTCTTAACTAAAAGAAGGAAAGATAATGCATTATATCTGCATGAGAGTGTAACTATGATATTGTGTACTGCAGCACAGCAAATCAACATTCCACAAGATAATTCTAAAAATGAGGCAACCCAAACAAAAAAATATATAACTTTGAAAGTGGGTTTCAGATCAGCATAGTAAAACTAACTCAAAGCTCTTAACTAAAAGGAAGGAAAGATAATGCATTATATCTGCATGAGAGTGTAACTATGATATTGTGTACTGCAGCACAGCAAATCAACATTCCACAAGATAATTCTAAAAATGAGGCAACCCAAACAAAAAATATATAACTTTGAAACTGGGTTTCAGATCAGCACCACATTGGGTTTTCAAATTATGGTTGTTTTTTAAAAAGTAAAACTGTTCCCCCATTCAGAAAAACGTGATCTCAAATAGACTAAATAAATTGAAAAGACCACTCTTGCTTATCTTGAAAAAGAATGGTTGACTTCACCTACTTTTTTAATTGGAAAGAATCCAGGTTACAGCAGGTGAAATGTTTATCCTCAATTAAGGTATTTCAAAAGGGAGAAACTGTGACTTTGTTATAACATTGTGCATGCATGGTACAGGTTTGCCTCTTTGCAAGAGCTTCATGAAATTATTCATTGTTTACATTGTTGGCCACAGGAGGGAGATGTGTGGAGAGCTACAAGGGAACTAAGTGTCACATAAACAGAGTTAAAAGACAGCTTTTCTTTAAAGAGTGTTTAAAAAAGCAGGTTTAATCTGAAGAAAATAACAAAGTGGCCATCCTCCAGAAGGGGGGTGGTGGTTCTTCCTTCGTACTGCTCCCATCTTCCTAGCAATATTGTCTTTTCCAGCATGTTCTGCTCAGGTCTTGAAATCTTACAGTTGTGGATTCCTTTCTAAAATAACAAAGTGGCCATCCTCCAGAAGGGGGGTGGTGGTTCTTCCTTCGTACTGCTCCCATCTTCCTAGCAATATTGTCTTTTCCAGCAAGTTCTGCTCAGGTCTTGAAATCTTAAAGTTGTGGATTCCTTTCCTGAGCCCACCCATCTTACATTAAGTCTTCCCCTTCCCCTATTGCCTCCCACCACCACTTTTCCCAAAAACATTTCTTTTCTGGTCTGTTCTATATTCTCATTACATGTACAAAATAGGATAGCTTCAGTTTACTCATTTTTACTCAAGAGTTCTTAGTTGTCTTGATTGATCACCCACTTATTTCTCTTTCTGGTGGTCTGTGATATCTGTAAGGTTCACATCCTGTACCTCTGAGTCTCTGGTGGTCTGTGGTATCTGTAAGGTTCACATCCTGCACCTCTGATTCCATGCCCCTCTGCTCTGTTTTTCTCCACTGCCCATCTTTTACATACTATGGATGATTTTAACCTTAGTTTCAAGTGACAAATTTTGCTAACTCCTAGCCTCCCTTCTTTTTAGTATTTCAAAAAGCACAGGGACATCTTTTAGAAAATACACAGGCAACATGTTTGTAGAGCAAGCCTTTGTAACTGGAAGATAGGTTTCTAGTTTACATCCTGAAGAGCAGGCATGACAGCCATAGTTTGCCTCAGAGGTCAAAGAGTGTGTGTGTTTCTCTGTTGTACGTGTTGCACTTACTCACACTTTTGCGTCATCATTTCATTGAGTCCAAAATAGGTCTTCAAAATATTTTGGCACAGATTGACTACAGATACATCCAAGCTGTTGTTCTTCTGTCCTTTCACAGCAACAATGAGTCTATGTGCTCATCTTCTGGGATCTTCTAGCACCTTCTACAGGAGGGAAGTTTCTGTTGAAATTTGTGTACATGTATATGTGCACTTACAATTTTAAAAGCCAGAAAAAACAGCCCTGACAGTTGCTTTGCGTTTGGGTGAGAAGTGGTGAACTGAGGAAGAAGAAGAAGTCACATTCTGGGATGTCCCCCTGCTTGGTCTCCCTTTGCAAATGATAGTGAGCCCAAGAGGGCATCCTGTAGATCAACTTGACCACTGACACAGGATACATCAACATTCCAGGTGATCTTTGCTATGTAAAGTTTGGCATCTTTTTTCCTTCTAGCAATGTGAGATGTGATATTGTGCTGCAATTTTGAATTGTGGATAAGAAGAGGGCATCCTGTAGATCAACTTGACCACTGACACAGGATACATCAACATTCCGGGTGATCTTTGCTATGTAAAGTTTGGTATCTTTTTTTCCTGCTAGCAATGTGGATGTGATATTGTGCTGCAATATTGGGCCCTTCCTAGTATTTTGAATTGTGGATACAGACGCATGATATCCCACATTCATAAACCAGAGGCTTCTTGGAGAATTTAATCAACCACATTCCAGTGACTCTGCTGCCTCTAGTAATAGCAAGGAGCTCTGGCAGAACCCCAGCCTATGTTAGCCAGGACTTCTACTCCCACCTGCATCACCCAGTGACTCCAATTCTGCTTTGTGCTATACCAAAAGAAAGCCCAGTTCTCAGATTATGGCAGTGATAGAAGGGAAGTGCTGGCCTCTAATCAATCCACACCAGCACTATAGTTGCAAATTTAAATGAGCAGCATTCTTCCATAATAGACACACACATGCACTTTTCATGGGTATTCCCCATCCTTCCTGATTGTGCATACGCACACATTCACATACACCAAATTATAATTTAGCTGCAAATTTGGGGATGGGTAGGAATCCCTGGGGAAGGAAAGGAAAAGCTGCCTTCCAGAGACCATGACCCCATTTCTTCTTGCACAGCTTATGAAATGTGGAGGCAGAAACAGCTGCTGCAGTTTTCCTACTGTGCCTCCCAGTGCTTCCACCTTTCTTCTTTCTCCTGGGCTTAGCAAAACACATACACACGGATGGAGGAGAAGAAGAGAACTTTTTCCAACCAGCCCAGTGAGTGAGTTGCAGAATGGCTGCTTTTCTGTGTTTTTAGCTAACATCTAATGTGCGCACACTGACAAAGAGCAGGATGCAGAAAGCCAAGCAGCACCCAAGGCATTCTTATCAGGCCAGCAGGCAAGCATTCAAGTGTGTGAGGACAATTCGGCTGTCTCCGCCTTCAATGGAGTATGAGGTGGGACAAGATTTCTCCTTCACCCAAAGGGGAAAACAGCCTAAGTGGGGGGGGGACGATACCCCTATGAGATGTAAAGAGAGAGTGGTGTTGAAGAAGGGGGACAGCTAGAAGAGACACAAGCCAATGGCTACCTGAGCAGAGGAGATGGAGGGGGGGGGGGGGAATGATACCCCTATGAGATGTAAAGGGAGAGTGGTGTTGAAGAAGGGGACAGCTAGAAGAGAAACAAGCCCATGGCTACCTGAGCAGAGGAGATGAAAGGAGTGATCTGACACAGCCAATAGAGTAATAGTTCCCAGCCTTGGGTCCCCAAATGTTCTGGGACTACAACTTCAAGAAATCCTGGCCAACATAGCTAGTAGTGAGGGCTCGGACTACAACTTCAAGAAATCCTGGCCAGCATAGCTAGGAGGGAAGGCTTCTGGGACTTTTAGTCCTGGAACATCTGGGGACTCAAGGTTGGGATCCACTGCAATAGGGTTGACCTGGAAGGTTCTTGGCTGTAAGAAAAGTGTCACTGATTCAACACAAGCATATACACATAGGGTGGCGTGATTACACCACTGGTCAATACTATGTTGCACCTGCATGGATCCCAAGTAGGAAGAGAACAGTAGGTCGAATGCAATTCTGGTTTGCTTCAGGATTATTATTTTTTTATTTATTTTATTTTATTTTATTTATTTTTGCAGTAAGCATACAGACAGCTATCTCTCCAAAACAGTCCAGTTGTTTGTTCCCACAATTTTGACAAACTGCAGTTCATATCTCTGCAACATCAATTCAGAGTTCA